ATCTGATTGTCAGAATGTGGTGTCGCAGACATGGTCCATGAAAATTGTACTGTTCCGTAAATTCATGTAAAGTTTAAATGCATCTTCTAGACATGTAATTTAAAGTTTTGGTGTTTTTCTCCCTCAAAGTCACATTAAAAAGACCCTCTCTCCCCTGTACAGTATTTTTTCTATTTTTTTCTACTTTGTTAAATGTCTCCCATGGCAGTCCCCAACCCTCCACTTCCTTTTTTGACAATAGCATGCCTATTTTTCTTAAAAATGGCCAGACTTTAGTTGTAGCACAACCCCTTAGGAGCTGTTTGATAGATGGGTCCTTCTGCCATTACCAAGTGATGACCCACACTAAATGAACCCAAACTCACCAAGACACTTGTAGTATTAAGTGGACCATATTTAAGAACAACAAAAAAGCCCTGCAGGAAGAAAGGATGAGCTAAACAGTTTTGTAACAATAGCAGAAGACCAACAGCAAATTCTGGATCCAATAGAAAACAAAAAGGTTAACTCTCTGGCCTAGGATTCAATAGACCCTAACTGCACCAATGGCCAATGGCCTGTATACAGTCTGTTGGTGTTCGTGACCAGGATCACATGTTTGGAGTGCTCTTTTTACAATTCAGCAAGGGCAGCTCTGTGTACACTGTTAGCAAAGACAGTATTAGAGTGTACCTGTGGCAAGGCTATGGACATTCAAATAGTTTACAATACTGTGGAGCAATTCATCCTCAAATTTCAAAGCAGAAGCACTGAAGTAATTAAAGTAATTCTTTGAGCAGTTCACCTCACTTTGCTCCCCATTTGGTCCTCATTCCCAAAGCTTCTTCTCTGTGTTAACATTAGAGATTAGAAGGCTGGAAGGCTATCACGTCACTGCTGGGAGGTGGGCAGGGAGAGCTGAGCTACTGAGAGAGATAAGAACTTCAATTATTCTACTGTGAAATATGAGAATGAACTATAGAGGTTAGTAAGGGGTTGTTTTAAAGCTAATTTACTGCATGTTTACAATATGTAAATAACCATCTATATCTTAACTACAGGGTCAATTTCAAACTCTTGTTGGAACATCTCCTGCTATGGTTCCCAGCTGGGGGATCTCACAAGAGGTCCATTTGGCCCAGCCAGTGGTTCTACTATTATTATAATCGTGTTTCTCATCTGCCATTAATCTCTCCTGGTATCACTGTTTGCCTTCTGGCAAAGAACCAAACTAGACATTGGACTCTCAAACATAGCAGCTAGAAAATACAGAACTGAACACACCTCAGTCTACTCTTGTGCTTCTACTCTTCTACTTGAAGCCTGGTGGCTATATAACTAAAATGCATTTTCTCAAAAGAGCCTCTGGGTCACTTCAAGTACATTGTTCAGACTGCCTGTAGCAGGGGTAACAATAGTACAAGCCTTTCCTTCATGATATGCTGTTTTGTCAGTAGTTGTTTCAGCCTGTTCCATGTATAGGAAAATGCTTTGTATGTAATCCTCTCTACTTCAACACTTGATCTCTTTGTGCCATTTACTAATCTTTTTATTCTCTCCTACCTTACCTACGTTTTATATACTGTATACTGGCTGGTGATATGATTTTGTGTTTAAATGTTTTTAGCAATTTTGTAGGGCTGCGGAAATTAACGATTCATTTCTCGATTAATCGTTAAACTTTTTGATCAATTTAAAATTATTTTGATCGCTAATGAAAACACTCGCTTCTCCACCGGCCTCAGGGAGTCCCATCGGAGATCCGGTGACGTCACGGACATCGATGTCACCGGACTCCTCCCCCCTTCCCCAAGTGGCTCCGTCGGCTAACAAAGGGAAGGGGGGAGGAGTCTGGTGACGTCGATGTCCATGAGGCTAACAAAGGGAAGGGGGGAGGAGTCCAGTGACGTCGATGTCACCTGACTCCTCCCCCTTCCCTTCGTTAGCCGATGGAGCCACTTGGGCCGGTGAGTTTGCCCAAGAAACTTTCTGCACGAGCGCCAGCCAAGGCATTGGCCTATACACATACAGCACAGCAATTAAGAAATAAAATGAACTAGGATCACACTAATCCTGCACGTTATTATTCTGAGTTGCCCCACTCAAGCGGCGGCCATATTGAGTGGGGCTGGATTAGTGTGCTGGATTAGTGTGATCCTAGTTCATTTTATTACTTCATTGCTGTGCTGTATGTGTAAAGACCAATGTAGTTGGATCTGTATGTGCGTTATAATTGATCTAAATTAATCGATTAAAAATAATTTAGATTAATCGAACACGAAAATCTTAGTCAGTAACAGCCCTAGAATTTTGGTTTTGTGTATTGTGTTGTTGATGAAAATTTTTAATAAAGCCGTTTCATCTGTGGTTCTTCTTTTTTAAGGATTGAAAGAGCATCTGCGGCATTATAACAGTCGAACAGTACTTAATCATCAGCATGCCGTTCGATGTCTCTGATTTTTCAAAATACAAAGATGTTTTGGGGTTGGGGGGAGTTGTATAATGCTGGTAAGGAAAGAGAGCAAGTCACCTATTGGAATGGGAAGAATAAACTGGCAAAGGTTCTTTCATCTATAGTCAAGTAGCCAACTGACTAGTTTAGAACTATTTTGAAACTCATGTATCATCTTTTTACCGGTAAATAAAAATGGTGGTTATTTTTACCACCATTCTACTGTTACAGAAAAGGTCTTTCACAGGAACATTGAATTTGTGTTCACCAGTCCATTATATTATATGCTTTATTGCAGGCCTATTGCAGGGAACAGTTCATCACTTCCAATTCTTAGCCCTTTGCTCCAGCGGGTCTTCATCCTTTTTTCCATGCAGGAAATCCTCTTTTTCCCCTAACTTTACATCTTTTTGATGGTAACTGAAGATACTCTTGAAGCTTCAAAGGTCAAAACATCACTGAGAGATGTGTCAAGGTCCAAGTGCACCTAGAAGACACTTCCAAAATGCCTTTAATTGTCAGCTGTGTTTTTTGCTGCAGCCTCTCCTGATTAGCTGCAGGAAGAAGTGGGTGGGCACAAGGTAGCGTAGGAGGCATGCAAGTCTACATGGGGGAAGCCCTGCGAATTTAACTAAAATGCATAAACAGTCAAATTCTGGGATGAAACATCAAAGTTTAACAAACATATTCGGATTAGTCCGAATCTGAATTTTTATTAATTTCGGATGAGTTAAACGATATTTACGAGCGAAAAGTTGTTGCAGAAAAGTAAAAATAAATGTTTACTTTTTTTAAAAACTTTTGACAGTCCACAGAAACAATAAAAAAAAACAGGATGGAGTCCCCTTCCCAATTCATACCAGACCCTTTAGGTCTGGTAGGAATTTTAGGGGGGACCTCTATGCCAAAATACCTTACCAGACTCTTGGTCCAAGCAGCAGCCTGGCAGAGCAGGAAAGGGGGGGGGGGCATACATGCGCCCTTCTCCTGCACCATACCAGACCACATGGCCTCAACCCCCTGGCAAAGCATCTTGTCCCCATGTCGATGAGGAAAAGGGCCTCTTCTGCGCGTTTGTGGACAGGGGGGCTTATAGGAATTTGAGGCCCCCTTTCATACATGGATGCCGCCCCTCCATCATGAATAAGTACCCCTACTTACCGGTATTCACCAAATATAGTAAATTACCACACCACACCATAAAAAAAGTCCTTTATTTGAAAAAAACACAACACAGTTTTTGACAATTGCTTTGTTAAACCCCCCCCCAAAAGTCCATCAATGTAATCCAAGCATCAATCATGTCATCCAGCAATGAAGATCCTCATCAATCATGATGGCCGATGGCCGGCAATTCACCGAAAGAAAAAAATCCCACCGCCCCTTGCCACAACCTATTGAACGCCGGCCGTAAAATGACAGCTCTGTTCCCGGATGTAGAACAAAGAGTCGTGATGTCACGGGACTTGTTCCGCCCATTTGTTTACATTCCATTAAGGGACAAAGAGCTGTCACTGAATGTAAACAAAGGGGCAGAGCAAGTTTCATGACATCATGACTCGCTCCGCCCCTTTGTTGATATTCGGGAGCAGTGCTGCCATTTTGCGGCTGGTGTTTTTTGGGATCGGATGTGTCGGCGGGATTGGGAATTCTTGCTTTTAGCGAATCGGCGGCCATTGTCCATCGGGACTCTACATCGCTGGATGACTGGGTCCCCCCTAGAAAAGCCCCTCCCCATGTTGAGGGCATGTGGCCTAGTATGGTGTGGGGGGGCCCATATTCGCCCCCCCCCCCCTTTTCCTACTCTGCCAGGCTGCTGCTCGGATCAAGGGTCTGATAAGGGATTTTAGGGGGACCCCAGGTTTTTTTTGTTTTCATGGCGTTGGGGTCCCCCCTAAAAAGGGTCTGGTATGAATTGGGGAGGGGACTCCACTCTGGTTCCTTTTATGTTAAAGTTTAACAACAGAAAATAATTTAGAATGAAATCCGGAAAAATTTTCAGATGCATCCAAACAATTTGGATATGTTCAAATTCGTTATTTCTTTCATTCGGAAATTTGGATCCATCCGATTGTTGGCATATGCCGATAAAGGAATCTCACATATCTAGTGGATTGACATGATCCAGTTCAAAAGTCATAGCTGGTGGATCAATTTAGGGATCTAGTAGTTGCTGTTCCTTCGTGTGAAGTCCCATTCAGCACATGACAATATTTACAGTATGTTATTGACCAAGCTGACACATGGCTGGTTGCTGTAGATTTTTAAAAGGTCTTGTCACCCATTAAAAGCTGGTAATGCCCCTTAACTAATTGTGGAGATCGAGCTTCTTCTTTATTCAATCAATTAGACTCTTGTGATCACATCAGACCTCCCCAAAAAAGGTTGAATTGAATGGCAGTAGGTTTCAGAGATGGCTCATGGCAGCATCATGGAAAGTGTAATCCAAATTGGTGATATAGCCTTTTTTACTACTTTCATCCTCAAGTAAGGTGTTATCGATTGTAAAAAATATGCAATGTTCATTGAAAACAAAATGCCGTTTACTAATTTGTGGTGTTTCCTACAGGAACTGGAGAGAGTGGAAAGAGCACATTTATAAAGCAGATGCGAATAATCCATGGAACTGGGTTCTCAGTAGAAGATCGCAAAATGTATGCAATACTTGTGCATCAGAACATTGTTACCTGTGCCAAGTCTTTGGTGGGAGCTATGGAAACTCTACAAGTGCCTTATAGCTTGAAAGAAAACAAGGTAATGTTGTAGCTGAGCAGTGTTTAAATGAAATATAGGAAATAATTGTTCAAACTGTTGCATGAACGTTTAGTGAACAAAGACACTAAACCACTATTAGAACCCTATGATTTAATTGGTTTGACAGAATTATAATTGATTATTTACAGAATTGGGCAGTTAATATTCATATATATGCTCTGTTTGGAGGGATAGGGTAAATAAAGAAGGTGGTGGTGTCTGTCTCTATGTAAGGCCCACCATTAGTTCTGATCAGCAGAGGATCCATGCATGGATCCCCTGCTGATTGAAATGAATGTCAACTTTGTCACATCTGTTTCCGTCCTTTTTTTCCCTCCATCTTGTGATGGAGGAAAAAATGAATTTACCGGACCCATGTTGGTCTATGGGGAAATGGATGTAAAAACACGTGTGTCGGTTTTTGAAAGATTACCCCTGATCCACCACAATCAAGTCCGCCAAAGCGGAACTCTGATCTCTTTGTTTTTCCGGACCTGGACAGAGTCAGGGATAATCGGATGTAAACAGACACATATCTTAATTGTGAAAGATTATTTTATTGGTGAAGAGTGTGATGTTGCTGGGTCATTACAGGTAAATTGGTAGCAGTGGAGCGTGCTAATTTTATTTCTGGAGTGTAAAGGAATTTTGGGTAGCAGTGACCATAACTTGATTTCATTTAATCTAAGTTTTAGTTAACAAGCACATATTGAAAAGACGAAAACACAAAGTGTAAAGTCTAAAGTCATAACTTTTTTGTAGTTTAGGATAGAGATAGGTGGACTTTTGATCCCTTGTTTTTATTATTATGAGGGATTCACAGTTTATTTTTGTCTTGTGCCTATTGAACTAAGACTGAAAGAAACAGAGGATCATTTTTAGTTGTCACTGGAACAGAAATAGAAGGAAAATCATACAATGGAGATTACTTGAGTTTAAAAAAACAAAACAGAAATAATTAGAAAAAGGGAATTTTAAAATAAATTGTGTAACTAATGGAAAACTCTCATCATTTGACAGTTGCAAAGAATACCTGTAGTGCATGGAACCTTTAAAAGGTAAAGACTCAAGAGTTGGTCACTGGGAACCTCTGTGTACACGAAGCGAAGAAGAGGTGCTGATGTACAATATGAGGATGGCAGTGACACAATTTCAAATGCACCTCAGTGGCTTAACATCGATATAATGCAGAAAATATTAGACTAAATAACTATGAAAGAAGCATGACCAAGTCATTGTTTCTACTTTTTGGTTTGTCTTTGGTACAAAGCAAATGTAGTACTTATATTTTAAAAAGGTTCATGGTCTGCACCCAGTAACTACTGATCTAAAAGCATTAAGTCTATTGTAGGGATGATACTTGAAGAATTCTTAAAGCGGACCTTTACACTCAAAAATCAAACTCTACCACTGCATCCCTCTATGTATGATGAATAATAATAACATAGACATATCAGGTGTAAAATTCTGTTATTTTAAAATACTTACACTTGCAGAGCATTCACTTCCTGCTTTAAAAGGGCAAAATGACTTCATTTTGCCAGAGCAATGCACACTGGTATTGCCCTGTCATCAGCAGAGCATTGCTGGGAAATCTTATGAGATCTTCGAGCATTTTCTTCACCTGAGATGATGTACATGGTCACATGTCCTAGTCACATGACTGGTCACATGTGCCAGAAATCCAGGAAGTAATAGGAGAGCTAGTAAGCTGCCATTAGTAAACATGTCTACTGTCAGAAGACTGGGGAAGAAAAGAGAAATAAGGTATGCAAAGAATACAAAGCCGGCAATTATCTAGAAGTATGTGTTTGTAGATTGTCATTACTAAACATTTCTAAAGGTGTGTTTGTTGTTATTTTAAAAATCTGGGTAACGGTGGTCTGCATTTTCTGCTCTTTGCACTGATGATGTCATTGTGTTCTGTCTTCACAGGTGAATAGGGGACTGATCAAAAGTTTGGATGTATATAATGTACAGCAGATAGAAAGACATCATGCTACCGCAATTAGGAAATTATGGAGTGATCCTGGTGTTCGCAAGTGTTATGAGAAAAGAAGAGAATTCCAGCTACTTGACTCTGCTTACTAGTAAGATCATTAGCAAGGGACTAGAATCTGTGGGAGATTAGATGTTCCAAACCTCTCTTGTGGAACACAGACAACCTTTAAAGCCTCAACTGCAAAAGACTAGTTGCACACCAAGAGAAGGGAAACAAAAAAGGGAAAGATATTGTACAGGCCTATTCATAATATTCGGTAATAGCCTATTCAAAATTCACCCCCTAGGGATTTTTGTTTCTAAGCTAAAGATCCAGTACCTCTTTTCTGCTCATCAGAGAGAAACAGCCCTCTAGTCTGATAGGGTTGTCAATCCTTTCTATGATCTCTACCCTTACAGATTCAAGATTTAATTCATATGTGATAACAAAGTGTTTTGTTTTTTTTAGTATTTTTATTAGACCTAATGTTGGAAAAGTGATCTTCAAAGTGTTTCTTCATATACGTTGTATAAATAGCTCTCCCTCCTTGCTTCCCCTCATCTCTGTGATTATGCCTGTCCTTAGGATGAAACATGAGAGGAGAGGTCCCAGACGGGGTTTCTTTGTGCATGTCCAGAACAATAAAGTTTAATTGAAATGTTATTGTCATCAGTGTGTGTCAGGTCTTTTGCAGTTGAGTTTGTATGGAGATCTTCCCCCCTGCAACTGAGTTTTCAGACTCTGGCACATGAAGCAAGTTTGAGAGCACTGACCATTGAGCAGTAACCATTGAGCAGTGACCATTAAAGCTTGACAGAGGCTCTAACCCTTTACAACTACATACATACTTAAAAAAGGTTTTGGCTGGGGTTCCACGTTAAGAAAAGGGTTCTGAAATGATACTGCAGATTTTCATAGTTTCTGCATATATAATATGTATTTAACCCCCGAGAACACCATCAATTATTCATTGTAATTTTTTCTTATTTCATACTAATGCAATTGTTCCTGCAATTAGTCTATGAGTCACCCACCTAAATTGTCAGCACAAACTTAGTTGGAGGAGAATTACAAAATAACCAAGCATAAGAAAAAATGACTCATGTTAACATTTATGGAGTGTCGGCAATGATTAAGGGAACAAGAAAGAAAAAGGCCGGAACTACCCATGAACTGGCTTTAACAAGGACTAAGCTTTGCATACCCACAGGCCTTACATTTAAAAATTGTTGTTACAATAGAATAGGATAACATTCTGGCTGCATGTGAAATAGTAAATAGAAAAAGCCTATAGGCCCAGATGGAAATGTTCAGCAGATTAACTGTTCTTCCTGATATTGCTGAAACATAGCACATTTGATCTTGCTAATATATTAGGCCACATGAGAAGTGAAAGAATTCATTCCTAAGCACTAAAATAGTAAAAACAGCAATACAATCAAGCAATTTAATCAAAAAGCATTATTTTAAAGCAGAGTACTTTACATTTTGTGAAGATGTCCAAGATTTACAAGCCTCTTAGAATAAAATGTAAGCTAAATAAATGCTTTATAGATAAATCAGACATGACATTTATTCAGTAGCTAAATGGTAAAATCACAGATTCTGTTACATTAACATTTGTGTTAAATCAGACATTTTGTAAAGTAAATGCTCAAAGTGCAACTGTACCTTTTATACAGTTTTCTTTTAAGAAGTTCCTTCCACTCTCATGAGTGCTGCCCACTAGACGAAATGCTTACATCTGGTCACAATCAATCCAGCGAACTTCATTATGCGGTCTCACTCGGAGCTCCACAGCCTTTCTTCTGAATCCTCATGCATTCTTATAGGAAAGCCTTAGGGGTTGAAAAAAGGGTCTTTACATAAGGATTGTAGAAAATATAAAAACAATAACAGCCTTTATTATATATTTATATACCAAGAAAGAAAAAAACCCTTCAAATTGCTTTATATATAGTAAACAGACAAACACATTTAAAAACTATAGCAGAACCTTTCTCAGCAAACAAATAGCATTGTTGTCTCGGCATAACTACTCATGTCTTCTGAAATATATCCATGCCACAGTAATGAAGGATACACTCTCTTTCCAAACATTGTTTACATGTTGCAGTAGAATGTCTGAAAATCAAATTCATTTGTAACAAGGAAAGATTGTATGACCACTTATCAATTTTTTGTGAGGTAGACAGGTGTCCAGCATAGCAGATTACAATAACGTTAGCACGTGTCTCACCATATATATCCCAGCAATACACTCAGATGGTTGTAAATTCATGAAAACCTCCTTGCCACTCCTCACTTTCCTTATAGTTTAAAGGGCAGGCCTGCATTCCTCCATCATGGTAGCATGTCACAATTTGTTTAAAAATAAGGCACAAGGCAACTGGGTATAAAACATTGCTATTGGAAACCACATAGACCATTTAAGCTGCAACCATCCTGTTCTGCCTCTGGCAGAAATAATAGGCTTACCTACCCGCCATATCAAAATCAGCTACAAGATGGAGCTGAAGAGAAAACATCTCTATCTAAAGCAGTTTCGAGACTGTTTCCCTTTAATAAAAAACGTCCAACATCCCTCAGTCCAAAGAGAAGGAAACAAGTGCATCTTGGGAGTTCAGGTTCCATTTTAGGACTGAGAATAGAGGAATCCACTACCATCCGCAGCACATGTTTGGAGGAAAGAGCCCAAATCTCTCCTAGGCAGCATTGCTGATATGGATGGACTTGTTTCTCTCAATATTTGTAAGCTGACACTATGTTTACATGTTTTGTATACTGATTGTATGTTTCTATGTTCTTTTACAAGTTTCACCCACCCTGTTTTGTTAATAAAGCATAAAGATTTCACCCAGTATGCAGTGTTGCAGGATAGGGGGGTTTAGCCTCGAGCTATACACAGGAAGCAGATTAACCTATAGCGGAGACAGAACACATCCAGTGCACCAATACATGTGGGATCCAGTCCTTCGCCTGCATTTATATAAAACAACAATATGAATGTTCAGACATATGTCTATCGCTGTAACACACCACATACGTAAGTCCAATTGAATTTTCAATGTCGGAAAAACTGGGAACACTAACTATATGTCGTTGATCGCATACAGTCCATTTAGCTTAATTCAGGAATCAAAATGGCATTAGCATGCAGAGATCATCTAAACATTCCACATTCACCATGATCACATAGCTGGACTAATTAATCATGTAGGAATGTATTGCATCTGAATAGGAACCATACATTGGAAATCCAGCTTTCCATCCTGGCTCAAGTTCATGGGTGAATCACTTGCCAGCTATGAGGATGTAGTAATTCTGGCTCACCTCACAAAAGTTGACAACCAGGAATTATGGACCGAGGTTCCCACTGGTTAAAACATGAGCTAGCCTTAATGTGTTTCTTTTTTCTTTCACGGCATATAAATGGGCCTTCCTGACACATCCTCCTTGTCGTTCTGCTCCTCCTTAATAACTCAGCCAATTATTAGTTAAAGAGGCTCTGTCACCAACATAAAGAATTGCAGGGAAAGCTTAGAAAAAAATTAAGTATTTTAAATGATTACTTGCAGTATTTTATTTTACTTTCTCAGTTTTTATCACAAACATACATACAGTATATATTACCATTTTGTCTTCCTTACCCACCTCACTTTATACCTTAGCTACTTGTGTACTCTACTAAGCTAGCACCACCACACTATATTTGGTCCTTTTCACAATGCCCACACCCTCATGTTTTGTTTGGTCCATATGTTTTAATTCTCCCCCTTTAGTTGTTCCCCTGTGAAAGCTCTTACCTGATCTTCCATAAACTCACCAATAATGCCTTTATTTTGTTTTGCTATGCTCATAAATGTAAAGGTAATTGATTCTGGTGTGCTTGCATATTTGCCTATTGCTATGGCAAGAAACAACATAGCAGTCTATTGACTACTGGCATCATTTTTAGTCATGTGACTGCCGTGTCTTCGCCTCTTTTTGTGTTGATCATACAATAAGGCTGCCATCCATTGCTGATAGCCGGGAACTGTCCCCTGGTATAGTCCCCTGCCCGCCTTTTTTTCTTCTATAAATTTATGACATTGCTGCCAGCTCACCAGCCCACCCACCATCCACCTGTCAGACCTGTGCCGCATAGAGCCAAGGAGGAGTTTAAAAACACATCCCTCAGGTCTGACAGGCTGGACCGGTAGGGGGGGACAGAAGCTGACAGCTGCATAGTTCACAAATGGAAGGGACCCAATGCCTCAATGCCGAGGTCCAGTGAGTACACCTGAGGGAGGGAGGGAAGAATTTGTGTTGGAGGTCATTTTGACATTGGAGGTGGGTGGATTGTATTTGAAGGCAGGGTAATTGGTGCTTGGAAGGTACTTTGTGCATTTATTACTTTTGACCTCTGCACTATGTGTGATATGCGCTCTTGGCCCAGGGCAGAGTAGCCACAGGCTTTATTTAACCATACACCTTTAAGCCCCTCACACTGTTTGGCCACACCCACAGTTTGGTCACACCCACCATTCACCATTAGACTTCAGAGACAGAACTGGCAGGATGGACAGATATTTATTAAACATTTACTCACACCAATACAGAAAACCTTGGACAATTACATTTACAAAGCAAAAAAGGGAGCTAGTTACATACACTGTAAAATGTATAAAAGGGTTACAAAATGTAAATGTATGCCTTCCTCTTTTGCAGCTACTTGTCCAATCTGGAACGTATTACAGAAGATGGATACCTACCAACTAATGAGGACATTGTAAGGATCAGGATGCCTACCACAGGAATCAATGAGTACTGTTTCACTGTGGACAATGCTAATCTTAGGTAAGAAACATGGAATAAAAAATATATATATAAAATCACATTCTGATGTGAATAAATTAGCTACTGTAAATTGTTTTAGTGTGTCTAAACTTTTCAAGACTTTGATTTAAAATGTATAAACTGTGATGTTTTTCTTTTACTTTGCTTCCCTCTCCTGAATAGCTCTGATTGACTGGTTTGTGGATAAATTCCGCAATTGTACTATAGGGGGAAGTAAATGTATGGGTATATTAAGAAGAGGTAAAAGACTAAAGTTCATGAAACAATAAATTGCCCTACCTTTCTCTTGTTTGTAGGTATTTACAGTTGAAAAGTAGCTGTAAGTATAAAGTAGGGATCAGCAATTCAGGGGTTCGTAAAATTCTGCTTTAAATCCCCGAAAACCAAAATATTAAAAGGAGAATTATGAGGCGAGTGATTTTCACTCAGCCTCATAATCTGAGCCGACCTGTGACAATGAAACTGTCACAGGTCAGCTCAGTAGATCGTGAAGTGAGCGAACACATACCGTCGCTCGCTCACTTCTTGATCTACCCCTGCAGAGAGCCATGACTGTCACTCACGGCTCCCTGCAGGGATTCCCTCCCTCCCCTGTCCGATGCTCCAGCGCTGACTGGCGGAACGGACGGGGTAGGGGGGCAGGTACAGCTGGCTCTGCCTCTAGATAGGCAGAGCCAGCTGTCACTCACGCAGCTGGGTGGATCCAGACAGCATTGTCGGGATCCGTTCCAGCGTCTCAGTATACCGCGAGCTGTAGCTCGTGGTAGCTCGCGGTACACTGAGCTTTGGGTGACGGAAGGACGCTAGTTTGTGTCCTCCCGTTACCCTTAGGAGAAATATGAGGAAAAGCCCTGACCCCATAGTTCTCCTTTAAGGGGGATATGGGACAAATCTGGATACTAAATTCTGGCCATTTTCAAGGTTAACATGCAAACTGTTGTCAACTTGCCCATTAGGGTATGGGGAGTTGTGAACTGCCTTGGAGGAGAGGGTCCTTTTATTGCAACTTCAATAGCGACAAAGCAAAAAAAGCCATCCTTTGAATTACATGTGTGTGAGATGCCTTTAAGCTCTATGTGTTGTTATGGAACAGTATGATTTTTATGGACACTCTGTTCAGGCATGACATATTTTGAATGTTTAATTAATGTTATAACTTTGCATTTAGATTGTCTTAAATCCAGCAGCAATTCCTCAATCTGTTTAAAAGCAAAAGACAGGAATCACCAGCACTCAGTAATATCATTCAATATGTCCATTTATTTGGACAAATCGTCACAATGAAAAAAGCCAACGTTTTGGGGCCACACTTGGCTTTTTTCATTGTGATGATTTGTCCAAATAAATGGACATATTGAATTATATTACTGAGTGCTGGTGATTCCTGACTTCTGCCCTGTGTCTGCACGGTGCCATCCGTGGTCATCACTGCATGCACCACTGTTGCATAGGCCGGGAACGTTGTGGGGAGTGCGGAGGGACTTTCTAGCTACCTCAGGCCCCGTTCACATATAGCAACTTGTCGTTCGATTTCCGCCGCCATATCGCGCATTTTTGCCGCGCGATATCGCGAGAAGTCGCCGGCCAATGCTATTCAATGGAGCTGTCTTAACTCCATGTCGCGCGTCGCGGTCGCAAGTCGCTTCTACCGGACCCTTTTTTCGGCGGATTTTGCGCGATTTTGCTCTTTTCTATGGAGCCCGACGGAGAAGGTCGCGCTACCGTCGCTGGAACTTCGCCCCGAAAGTCGCGCTATCCCGGCCGCTGCAAAGGTATGTCGCTATATGTGAACGGGGCCTTAATCTGTTTAAATTCATCTTTTTTCAGGTAGTTTGGCTGCGATGCCTGATTTTTTTTATCCAGTGATTATAGGCCTGAATTGAATGGTGGAAGTAGGAGCCACAGCAGATCTAAAAGCTATAAGGAAGTAGGCAAAATAAAGCTGAAGCCCTCAACTGTGACAAGTTGGACAATGGCAGAGTGCACAAAAAACAACCCCACATTCAAAGATTAAAGTGTATTATTGGAGAAACAAAAATGCCAGAAATATTGTACAGTTGCTGGACTGTATGTAAGCAGCTTGGCAATGTAATCTTCAGAAGCAAGACAGGTTTTATCTTGAAATAAACCTTAGAGTATATTCTTTGAGAAACAATAGCCACAAATATTGTTCAGTGGAGTATGTAAGCAGCTTGGTCAGGCCACAATTTAAGAGGGAGAGAGCCTATGAAGCTTTTTTATAGTGTTAAATGTTATTGCTGTGGACAAGCTTCCTGGGTGAATTAATGCAAGACATTCTGTTTATGCTTTTCTGAAGCAGGAAGTGCAATAAAGTTGGTTGTGGCCAGTTTGAATTTTAGCTGACGCTGGTGAAAGTTTGGCTGATGTTATTACAATTTGTTTTCCAGAGCTGCTGTTTAGTCTGCTAAAAATGATCAAGCATGTCTATATGTGTCATTACCATTCCATGGTTAACTTCACTTATTCGCTAGGACTATATTGTATAGTCTCTCTGTTATTGAATCTAATTTCACGTATCATATTTTTCCCAGGATAGTGGATGTAGGGGGGCAGAAATCTGAGCGCAAGAAGTGGATCCACTGCTTTGAAAATGTGAATGCTCTCATTTACCTGGCATCTCTCAGTGAATATGACCAACAGCTCGAAGAGAAGAAAGATGAGGTAACTTTTAAACACTACGGACAGATTCAGACTTTTTCTTTGCATTAACAAGCAGTGCAGTCATGTTATGGTATTCTTTATTTTGAATAGCACCCTAACGGTCCTGTAAACCATCTGTGCGCATGCCTGCAGTGCATAGGAATAAATTGGTACAGGTCCAATAAAACCTGTATTGTAGTGCATTGGCAGACAATTCAAAAGTCTACAGCAGCCTATGAAATAGACAGGGCATCTGAACACAATGGCATACAGTACATAGCATATTTGACACCTGGGGTGGATTATATTTTTAACATCACCATTCTGTATACGTCAAAATGATTTATATTAATATTTATGACGTTAAACGAATACTCGTTGTGGTTAGAAAAATAAAACCGTAACAGTTTTCTTTATCTGAACATTTTGTATATGTTATGATGTCATTCAAAAATAAAAAAAAGCATTACAATAAGGTTTATGAACTATGTGTGTCACAGAAAAACATGGGGATAATAGTAGTGTACGTGGTTTGATAGTGACAGGCCTTCAGGCAGGGCTTTTTTGGCAGAAAATAAGAGCAGGTACTTACCCCTCCCACCCTGGGCCACCCTTTTTTAGAAAATACGGAACCAAGTATAATTTTGTGGTGATACAGAAGTAATTTTTATAGATTTTTTTAATGATAAAAAGAAATGGGGTAAAATGTACAAAACAAGAAATATACAGCACTTTCTAAATCTCGGAGGCACTTCAAGATTTTTCCACATTTTTGTCATATGTAAACAATAGCACTCAAACATATGCATGCAAGTACATGAGCACACGTACACCAATGCATACCCACACAGGCACAAAAGCACAGCATATATGCACCTACACAAGTATATGCACCTGCGCATTCACAAGCACCCGAACATGCACCTGCATGCAGCTCTTAGAGGAGCTGTGATATGCCATCTACATGAATATTACATGGCAATACGAGGCAACATTAGAAAACCCACCACTGCCATCCTAATCGCATGGAAATGTTATAAGGCATTAGAGTACTTACCACTGCATGTTAAACATTACGCCAAATCATCTTATTGAACTGCATCTCAGCTTGATGGCTTAAATGTAAATGAAATGATGAACACTATGTCCAACGTTTCCTTTTCTTATGCAAATCAAATCAAAAATCAATGTTTTGGTTATGTATAACTAACAGCAGATGTCAGTTTATGACTACCCCATAAGAGAGCTCAGTAGAACTCTTACAAGTTTCCACAAGGCTGCATTTACCTCCAGCTCACGAGGTATAATTTCAATGTGTGTGGAGTTTGCTGTCCCTCTTTCACACCTTGCTGGCTGCAGCTACTGTAGGCGAGTGCCCCTATGACTGTGCTGATCTACTAGCCAGACCCTTTGGGGGGGATTTACTAACCTAAACACACGCACGCACTAGGTGCGTGTGATTTTTACACAGCAAAACGTATTTATCAACCAAAAAGTCTCTAAAAGCATATTTCCACTAATGCCATATATGGAAAAATCATGCACATGATGCATATATAATGCTGCTTCACAGTTTAGACAAAAACGGTTAGCTCATGCATTTACATTCCTGCATTCATCAACGCAAGCAACCCAACATAGAGCTAATTTACACAACATCACCTTGCAAATTCATGCAGGGCTTTGCACAACACACCTGCTGGGTGTGTACACACTACAAAGGTGTTTAGATTCCACCCATAGATCATGCTGGAGGGAACACACTACAGAGGTGTATACATGTTCGTGGTGTGTTTATAAGGTTAGTAAATCAACCCCTTTGAGTCTATCTTCAGCACATATACTTCTGCTTGTCTATGTGCTGCTGGTCAGATAATAAGCCATGGCTGAAGTTAACACACCTCAGGCCTAACCACACCCCTGAAAACACTTCTCAGCAGCCTAGAGGAAGGAGCGACTATTTAGGATGAGAACAAGGGAAGGGGAGCTGCCACTGGAAATTACCTGTTTGTTCAAATTTTCTTCCCTAGCCTGTAAGCAATAAATTGCCCATCGGAGGCTGGAGCTGCCCACAAGTAACCCTCTGCTTGGAGGTGCCAGCATGCAATACCAGCACGTTCCAGCCAATTGTTTATTTTGTCGACACATTATTATTGTCCCATCATTGAGGCAACATTTTTCAATAAGCTCCTCTGCAACTGCTATTTGATACCTTTTCATTGCTCCCTTAAAGAAAGCTACTCTGTCTGTAAAACTCCGTCACTTGACTCATTAGAGTGTTTTCAAACACTTATTCATTTAAGTGGCAAATATCTAAAGTATGTAGGTGAGAGCCCTTGTGGATTTTTCTTTTTTTTTGCAGAGAAGGAAAAACAAATTAGATTTGAAGAAAAAACAGTTAAGTTGTTTATCTAACAATCTAATAACTGAGGACACATAATTCTAGCAAGAAAACATTTCAGTAAAATTTCCCCAAATGTTTTGCTTGTTTTAGTCCTTTGTAGTGCCAGAATTAGGTTTTCTTGCACCCGAAGTGACTGTTCCCCAATTTTGTCCAGCTGCGATCCAGGCATTGGTAGAAAGCTATGACATGAGAAAAGGATAACAGCTTGTATGACAGGTACTGTTAGATGGGATAGCAACAGAAATTGTATGGGTCACTTAAATAGCAATAACATTCATGAAGATGACCAGAGATCTAGGTCTATCAACAGGCATTGTTTTCTTGCCTTTGACATGCACATCAAATCCAGGTCAGCAAAATCCCATAGACTTTATTTGAACAGTACACATTTCAGGTTAAAAAACTGGAAAAGGAAGCGCTACTACCCTGTAGAGAAAGTGTGGTCACAATAATGAATAAAATGTAATGACTAACTCTCAGATGTAAGCATCAAGGAAAAATGGAAGTAACTCACTGTTGGTAGTTCTGTATCTGTCCAGAAGGTGGCGTAGCACTGCCCGGGGGGGGCGGGGGGTACGGGGGAAGCAGTGGACAATAATGCTCAATCAAATCAGTCTGGGGTGGATGGTAACTGTGGGGTATACCATAGGGCGAAACGGCAGAACTCAGCTGGCCAGGCTGAGCCTGTTCCAACCCAGCTGCCTCTCAGCCCCTCACTGACGTCACACTGTCATCCCACGGAGCTTCCCATTGACAGACTCAGCGAGCTGCGGCTGAAGTGACAGTGCTGCAGCGACATCCTCCGCCGCTCTCTCATTGATTCGAGTAGGTTCAGCCTGGCCAGCTGAGTTCTGCTGTTTCGCCCTATGGTACATCCCACAGTTACCATCCACCCCAGACTGTTTTGAGTGAGCATTATTGTCTACTGCAATGACAGCTAGCTCCGCCCAATAGTTTTCTATTGGCCAGTGGTTCTGCTGCCGTAAAAAAAAAAAAAACTCTCCCGGGTGCTCCGGGAGTCTCCCGCTCCCGGCCGCCCAGAAGAGAAACACTGATTTGTCTTTTTTTCTTTATTTTGACATAGAGCCGTGTCAGAATAGAAAAAATAAATAAATAAAACATTTTTTGCCCATTGGAATGCATTGCTAGATTTCTATTGGCTATTTCAATTTGCAATAGCCAATAGTCAACTAGCATTGCACCCGCCCTCTGCAGCAGTTCTCTATCAGGTCCATCAGCAGAGGGCGGGTACAATGCTAGTTTACCCAGGAGAGTTTGCTGTCTGGAGATCCGTGTCCCTGGTTAGCTGGTAACCAGGGACACTGATCTCTCTGCAAGTGGCCGGAGCCAGCCGTAAGATCACGGCTGGCTCCACCCAGCTGTCAGAAGCAGGCTGTCGGCCGGCCGATGGCCCGCCGCTCGGCCAGCTTCGGCTTTGAATAATTTGGCAGCTTGTAAATGAATAAAATCTTACTTATTTGATAGCATTCTACCCGCTAGTATCACAGTATTAACTGCCACGTTATTATAAAATGTAACACCTAATAGTATTTGCCTGAGGTTAGGCTAAGGGTTTCATTTATAAAATGTCTCAGGGAATTTCCTAGAGCAAATGCCTAATCTGAACAGCATCATCTAGGGGATCTAGTGATGTCTGAACTGAATCCATCCAGCTGTATGCTGGGTAGAAGTTTTATAAATAAAGCCTTAAGTGTTAAGTCATGGCTCCCAACTGTCCCTCATTCGACCAAATCCCTCTGTCCCCTGTTCCTCTTCATTCCTCCCTATTTTTATTCTGATGTATTGATCTCTATTAAAAATGTACTATTGAATTAGTTACATTTATAAATCAGCCCCTGAGGGGTTAAAGCTCACTCGCTACCACCCTATATCAACCTCTGTGTCACTGCTCCTTCTTCTGTGACCACCATTGCAAAATACCTGGTGCTTCTGGGTATGGAGGAGCATATAACCTACTCCCATGATGCAGCATTTTGTACTTTTGGCAAATCACTTGGCCCAAGTAAGTTAGAGGATGTGGCATCGCTGCTTCCTCTGAGCTCTGAGGGACCGTAACAGAGAATGCAGTGGCAGGGTAATGAAGGGGAGATAAGTATAAAGTGATCAGGGGGTGCTCTTTACATAGACATGGGTCATCGTTGACCCACTTTCTAAACATTCTAGATCTACTTATCTAATAGTTTTAATATGTGCTAAGTGTTCTAGCTGGAAGTATGTTCATTTAGGAGTTTCTAATCTGCATGTTTGATACAGCTAACTGATTGATACAGTTTTGTATGATATGAAAGGAACTAATACAATAAACCTAAAAGTAACTGGTGTATCTCAAGCCCTAACTTGTATTCTTATTTTTGAATAGAGTGGAGAAGGGTTAGGACCCTTATCAGGTTTGTATTGCGATCCAGGCCTCCCTTAGAGACATTTTCCCTCACTTCCTGTCCTGCTGACAATGTTTTATCAGATAGGAAGTCAGGAAAACTTTTCAATAGCAACACAGAAAATACAATTTAGTAGAGTAGGGGAAGGCTAGAACCAGATTTTTTATTTCTGTTTGTGCTTCTTTTGAAGATTTTTCCCTCACTTCCTGTCTAGTAAAACGATTGTCAGCAGGACAGGAAGTGAAGGGAAATCTCTCTAATGGAGCCCTGATAGCAGTACAAACCTGTCAGGTATTCTAACCACCCTTCACTCTATCCAAAACTAGAGAAGTTTTTGGCTTGACATATCACACACAATTACCACTATTTACCTGAATCAATTTTCCTTTTTGAAATGTAGCACAAAAAGCTTCAACTGACACTTTTGACCTTTTTATCATAGAATCGAATGAGAGAGAGCATGGCACTCTTCAAGCAAATAATGGTGCTTCCTTGGTTTATAGATACTCCTATTATTGTTTTCCTCAACAAGACTGACTTGCTGGCTGAGAAGGTCTACATGTCTGATTTGGCTGCATACTTCCCCAATTTCAAAGGTACATTACAAGGTCAAAATAAGCTGTGGTACTACAACAAACATTTCTTTGTTTAAGTAACAATATTAAAAAAAACAGACATACTGCTGAAGTGTTCATATTGATATAAGAGCTGTTGTATAATGGCAACTAGTAGGCAGAAGCTAACAGATCCTGTGTAATAAGTGCTCTGTGCGCTGTATGCATTGTAACATTTATGCAAGGTTTACATGCATACAGGGTATAGTGCAAAAGTGCCCTATTGGTTTCTTGCGTGCTGGGAGGTTTGAGCCATCTGCTTCCCTCAATTAAGGAATCTCGGCGGCAAGGAGCAACCAAGCAACAAGTCTTGAGCTACCTAGCATGCTTGTTGCTAGGATGCAAGTGGCTCCTTGCACCTGGTATCCTTTGTTGCTATGACGCTAGACAGCTAAAACCGCCTGCATTCTAGCAACGAAGGATGTTAGGTGGTTTGAGCTGCCTGCATCCTAGCAACAAAGGACTCTAGGCAGCTCGAGCCACCTGTATCCTAGCAACAACGGATTGCTCCCTTCCTTATAGCTTTCTTTGTTGCTAGGAAGCAGGTAGCTCTAAAGGAGTGCTCTGTAAACATATAAACATTAGCACAAGCAAAACAGGGTCATATGCATAACCTCAGGCACAGATGTTTTTATTTTACGCATCTGAGTGCAGTGCAAGTTGACTGATCTTTATGCACTCTGTGCATGGGCCCAGGGAAAACAATACACCTGTGTTTAGATCTGTAAAAAGTAAAACACAAAATACAGTGCCAATAAAAACACAGCATCTTTATGGCCTTGTGCATGAGCCCAAAAACAGGTTGATAACATGGATAATAATAAACAACAACATATATTAACAATAAAAATAGTAGTAATAATAATAATAATATTGTTATTTATAGTATAAAAATAAAAGATCATTTTGTGTTTCCTGTTAGAATCATAGGAAGGTTCTTGGTCTTATTTAGTTTACACCCCCCTGTGAATATGCTCCAACTTCCTCACTGCTCTCTTTCTCAGTGCTCGCTTTGCCCTCCCAACTCTCCTTTGCAGTACTGGAGGATTCCTGTAGTTTTGCACCCTAATGGCTCATGCAGGACTTCTCTCTCTGCTCATATACTGTATACGCTAATGTTAAACTGTCCCCATGTTTCTAAACTAAACGTTTCCTACTAAAAACATTGTTTACACTGACTGATAAAATAAAAAATACTACCTAAGCCACATAAGTAATAAATAATATTAATAATGAATAAGCTGTTTAAGGAATGAGCACTTTTTGCATGCAGTAATAACAATAAAAATAAGAAGCAACACATATATCAATAATATTAAAATAATAAACATACAGATTGATGTATGAATCTCTACATTTGTACCAGTAAGGCAGCCAATTTGGCATGGAAGACAAAAGTCTTAAGACTGCTGATAACAAGCAGTGGTATAATCTAGGATTATCTAAAAAAAAGTTCTGCGGAAGGACGAGAATGTTCACTATAAAGAGGCATGCCCTGCAGAATAGAAAGAACTAATAGAAGGAGATAGGGCTGAATACAACTGGCTGTGTGTCTGTAGGCTTTAGTCACATAAATCTTATCTTGTGTATCAGGAAGTGTAAATGCACAAAGAAGATATATCATTCATAAAAGAAAAAAGTCATAGCTTGCTGATGATGAGCATCGTTGTCTCATACAGGAACATGAGATAAAAGCGACAGGTCACCAGCACTCAGATAATTTAAATAGGTATGTCCTTTTTAATGGACAATTGTGTCACAACAATCAACAAAGCCGACGTTTCGGGGCCGCGCAGGGTTCCTTCTTCAAGGCAGAAAGATGTGAGGTCACATCTTTCTGCCTTGAAGAAGGGACCCTGCGCGGCCCCGAAACGTCGGCTTTGTTGATTGTTGTGACACAATTGTCCATTAAAAAGGACATACCTATTTAAATTATCTGAGTGCTGGTGACCTGTCGTTTTTATCTGGTATTTTGCACAGTGCCATCCGTGGTCGTTACTACAAGCACCATCGTTCTTATTGGCCGGGATTGCTGTAAGGTGTGCGGAGAGCACCCTCACCAACTCATACAGGAACATAACTACGGTATGTGTGATGGACCTTTTCCCCCCTTTTTTTACCTGGTGATTCTGACAGTAACATACTTCCTGTCCTAGGGTGACCATGCCCACTCATCGTACTCTATCTATGAAGTAGCAGCTCTCCTGATTTGGGCTCCAACATCTCCCCCTCTCCATCTTCATAACATAGAGAGGAGGGGTTCTGTAGCCTTCAAAGATAGTTGTAAACCACATAATTATTAAGAATGCAGCACAGGTACAGAGCACAACTGATAAGATTTAGCACAATAAGCTGAAAAGATATAACAAAACACTTTAAATGGTATTAACAAACCTAAAGGGAGCAAATAAGAGAAGTTCATTTTTTAGGGGTTATGTACACTTTAAGGGGCCCCTTGTCTTTCTACTATCAATTATTTTAGTAATACAGACTATTTGTTGCTCTTAAGGCAATATTATAGAAGTTCACAGAACACACTTTGTGTGTTGCACTTTCTTTAGTCCACAGGAAACTTTCTTTACCATGAAAGGGCCCGTTAGTTGTGTTTGCTTTCCAGGTCAAATGTCCCAGGTCTTCTATTGGCAATCATTCTCATTCATGCAGAAATCCATCACTTAAAAGAGAATTATGGCTAAACCTTTTTTGACCGTAGTTCTCTTTTGGGTCAAAGGAGGACAAATACTATTGCCCTCTTTCCGCTGACAGTGCAGAGCCGCACTGCAGCCAGGAAAGATCCTGACAAGACTGTTGTCTGATTGACAGCTGGCTCTGCTCACCCCCTCCCCTTTCTGTCCCTCAAGTCTGCCCTGGAGGAACAGAGAGGGGAGGGAATATTCCCTATGGGAACCGGTGACTGACAGGCTCTACTCTGCAGAGAGATCATGAACTGAGCAATTAGCGGTATGTGATCACTCAGTTCTCGATCTATAGAGCCAGCGTGTGACAGCTGCAGTGTCACACATCAGCTCTGGGGATGAGTGTACCCTACTCATCCAACAGTTCTCCTTTAACAATGTATGTCCAGAATGCAAGTGATCCTTTACAGTCATATAAACAATATACTGCCTTCTTCTGAGAACTCTTGGCTCAGTTACTCTTCTTGTGGTTGGTACATGCAATGGTCAGAGAGCCACTTCTACTGGCTAGATCTGTCACCAATTGCCTGGCATATACACAGGTTAGTCACTGATTTTTCTTGAGCTCCATCCTTCGTCTGAACACAGCAACAGTCTACCAGGGAGAGCAATGTCCCTTTTCAAGAATATTAGGTGTTATCCCTTTGAATCCCACACTACTTTTCTAATTCCACCTGATCAGAAGCTGTGTTGTCTATTTTGCTCGTTGTATGATTTCAGTTTTTGATTGAACATTTCTGGACTCTCAATGTTTGGTATTGCTTTGTTCCATAATAAGAGATAGCCAACTCCCTGTAAACCCGAACATTTTAGTATATTACAAAGTGTCTTTTTTTGTAGTAGTAGTAGTATACTGTATGTAAATTACAATATATATTTAGTAAATAAACAAATAAATAAATAATAGATGTAGTAATATTATATAGTAATAAAATATTATTTAGAAATACAATAATATATAGAAAACCTTTCCAAGGCCAATATAGAGTACTGATCCTGGGCAAATTCACATTAGTTTTGAATTTTATATTATTTTGTACATTAAACGATAGTAGTGTGTCATAAATAGTGTACAAATCTGCAATGAACATGTGAAAGCCTTCTTCTGTTTCAATTAAAACATTGAGAAGCAGTTCCACCCACCCTGGAAGCAAAGAAACCTAATAGTAATGGCAACTAGGTCATGCTATAAAGTGAGCTTGTAAAAATGATATTCCTTGTTGTAACCTGCACCCAATGGTCATGTAAGTATCTGTAAACCTCCTATAGTGTTAAATTATATTTTTTCCACAAAAAAATTATATTTAGCCATTGAAAACCCTATTTTCTCATAAATCATTATTTTATCTCATAAGGTTTTATTTTATCACCACCTCAAACAGCTTATTTTCTTTCTCTCTTCCACAAGCTGCTATTTAAGGTCCCAGTTATCATCACCCTGAAGCTGGTATTTTAAAGTTTATTTCAGGAGTCTGAGTTGCATTTTTGAATTGATATTAGAGTAAAGTTATCTAAAATATGGATGTCAGATTTTAAAAAGGCAACAGCAAAAAGTTTCCTAGTTTTGCTTGACAGATTTTAAAAAAGGGGCACAATTTTAGTGCTTGCCATAGACGCTATATTTTGTAGGTACACCTCTGGGTTTGCATTCCTGCTGTGGTCGTTATGAGTGGCTCCCTCTCTCCCTGTTGGATTTTTCCCATTTTAGGCCCGGTGCAGACCTGAGCAACCCCATTGATTTCAATGGGGGTGACATCCACATGGCAATCACAGAAAAAAGGTACCTTTTTTGTGCAATGCACGACACACGGCTGTTTTAGTCAAGATCGTGTTCAGATGCACGGGCAGAATTGCGGCGGAAAACCGCTTGATCCGCCCGGCGCGACTGGGGTGCCATTTGAAAATAATGGCACCCATAGCGCGATCGTCTGTGATGGGCGACTCCGTGACCGCGCGGCAATCTGTGTGGTAGAACAGTAGAAAGGCATCATGGCACACTCACAAACCAGCATGTAAAACAACTTGTCTCACCACTAAGGATAATAACAGAGGTTTGGATACACGTCTTCTGCAGAGGATGTGAAAGCCGCACTGCCGCGCCAAGGCACCTCTTATAGTGCTGTCCTAACTCTAAACTATGAGAGTCTCCATCTTGGAGCACATGGGGGCAGAAGATATCAAATTGGGTGCAGGCCTGTCAGGAGGACGCCCTACCTCCTTAAAGGTACAGAAACACACAAGGGATCCCGCACATCCCATTGGCAGCTGAGAAACCCCATGCGTCGC